GGGGTGTTTTCATGCGGGCTTCAGAGGGCGTGGGAAGGGGACATGGCTCGACTGCATGGGTCGGCATGCAAGATGGCTGGAGGAACTTTCCGTCTGCCATCTTGGAGGGGCCAGGCGCCGTACTCCGCTGTCTCTTTCATGCAACGCTGGACTTGTGGACGATGAATGGCTGGTGTCAAGAAAAATACAGTCAGCTGGAGCGTCAGCGAGGGCCCAGGCGACAACTGCGGAGAGGCATGTCCGACGCCGACTGAAGGACTATGCACGGGGACCCACAGCGCGCCGTCATGGTAGTGGAGGCGTAGTGCGAGGATAGGCACTGGACGGGTAAAGAAGGTCCGCGTGCATTTTACGAAAGGGCAGGGTGCATGTTCGGCGACGCTTCTCCGTATCTTCTTGGAGTGCGACGAAAGCTACAGAAGGAAGGCGCACCCGCCATTCTGTACCGCAGTCTTCCCGGAGCCTTTCCGCCATACGTGCAATCTGTGCGGTGCTCTCTCGCCTCGCAGACCGCGCACCGTCGTCCATATCCCGCAACGGAACACGACAATGAAGGGGACGAGAGAGAGCGGAGGAGGAGATGGGGGGGAAGGCAAGAGAGGACGGGGACACGTCCTGAACTCGGCAAAAAGGATCGTAGTTGATAACAACTCGGACGACGACGAAGAACATGAGGAAGTGGCGGTGGCGGGTGTCCAAGGCCAGCAGGTGGGCGGCGGATTGGGTTTCATGCGGGACGATGTGCCGAGGGAGCAGATCGCGGCATTCAAATAGGCTGGCGGAAGTGGTGCCACCGCCGCCCAGGTGAGGACACCGAAGGGAGGCGGGTTAGTCATCAACAAGGGGCGATCGCCGAGGCCAGTCCCCCCGACGGGGGATGCGGCGGCGAGCGCCGCTCGTGGTGCGATCATCTCGGTCGCTGGGGCGGGGCGGGTGAACAAGTAGGCCGTGTTGCCATTGCCAACACGTGAACAAATGACAATGAAATAGGCGGGTGTTTCGGGGACGGGCAAGGCGAAGTCCCCTGCGAAGGGCGGGGAGGGGGGCGTTAAAGGGATGACCCCCCTCAGCGAACGTGAAGCCAGGGTGACCGGGTCAGGTGGTGGTGGGGAAGAGAGAAGGGCATTGGACGTTCGCCACGACGACGAGAGCGGGAGAGTGACAACGATGATGACAACCCCCCTTCAAAAAGGTTGAAGAAGCACGGCCCGGAGGACGATCTGGAGGAAAGGTCGAAAATGTGGGTGGATAGCGACGCGTTCTGTGGTCTATCTCTATTCTCTCAACCTCCCAATACCCAAAACTTTGCACCCATTTCCCCCCTCCCTTACTCCCTCCCTCCTATTGACCCTGCCCCTCCCCCACCCTCGCAGCCCAGCAAACCAGCAAGCAGCCCCACAAGGCAGTGCACAGCCCCGCAAGCCAGAGCACAACCCCCCAATGGTAGGCCCAAAGGGATAGATGACTCCAATCTGTTGGTGGCAAGCGGCACCTGCTGGAAACCGGGTCCAACGTCCCACTTACAAGACTGGAGAAAACAATTAGGTCAAGTGGGACACCATTGATTACCCTCTTCCAAGGGGATTGACTGCCCGCCTAATTATAGGCCAAGTTAACTCAACCATTTGAGCCCAATCATAGATGGCGGAACCCATCCCGTTGTTTGTCGACGTTTATCCCACACAGTTTCCTTTTATCAAGACAATCCCTAAGCCCCCTCCAAGGCTGAGAATGTCAGTGAAATCCAGCCACCAGTTGTAAGCTGACCCCAAAATGTTCGCCAACCATGTTTGTCATTTGGTGTTTAATCGTTGTTATTTAGAGTTATTTCTTACCGGCAGATCACGTGTCACACAGGGAGAAGGGGAACAGTGAAGATATTGTTCCCCTCCATTACGGTAGTCATGTCGGGAGAGGATAGGGAGTTGCGCTAGCGCTAGCGCCCCGACGCCAGTGGACCGGTAGGGCCCGGTCACCCCGACTCGACTAGCGCCTGGGGAGAACTGCTGGGCCTGCGCACGTGTGACGCTCAACCTCACGCCCTGCGCTACCTTCCGTTCGGAGCGTTGCGGTTCGTGGAAGGGGCCCGGGAAAGGCAGCGATGATGGGGTGTGCCAAGGATTTTTGGAAAATTGAGTGCGGGACACAGACGGAACTGAAATCCCCCGTGTTGGTCCGACTGTAGTAAGAAAAAGATTCCTTGCCGCGCGGGTTTTAAGGGAAAAAAAAAGGCGCGCGCAGGACTCTTAGCTATGGGAAATTCAATCCAAAAAGTATCGCTGGACTTCCCAACGAGCCGTCGCCCTTCGTTTTGCGTGAAAGGGGGTGGGTACACACGTGGTATCTCATTTTCGGATGAGGTCGCGTCGGTGCTCGTTACACAACTCTGAGTCCGACGTGGAGGGCGTCAACCGAGTGGCCTATTCCTTATGTTCGTCCTTGCCGCGTGTGCGATATTGAAACCCCTTGGTCTAATAACGCTCGATGCGGCGACAATCGC